CCAGTTCAGCTTTTACAACCATTAACCATGAACTTTCGTGCGCCGGTTTTGGTTGCTGTCTTTTGGTGCCGCATTTGGATAAAAGAGCAGAATGAAGACTAGAGTGTTGGCAGCAGATTCAAGCGGAAGATAGCGAATTAATATAGACTGATGTTAGGAGAATAATGAGTAGGTGCATCAGCGCCAGCCATATCACTCAGTGTCTCTAACCATCGGTGACCATCATCCTGAGGTCCCCAGCCAGGGAGCCTAACACGGCCTATGTGACCTAGTCTCCTGGTCAGGGTTTTCATCCCCTCATGCCAGGTCTTAGTTTGACCGTCATTTGCTTTCTTCCATCCACTACCTGTCTCGGCAAATATCGGTCGCAGTGGCAATCTATCTAATGAAATGCGTAGCACATGTCCCAACCAGCATAATCTATGGAGGTCAATCACCTGCTCCATTGCCACTGCCTACTCTACGCCTAACCTCAGCATTGTTCGTCCAGTGCGTGAAGGTGAAGTCCGCGGATGGTCAGTTCACATCAATATCGTTTAGGATTGTTTTTCTTTGCAGTACAGTCCATCAGATTTTTACATTCTAATGCGTTTGGATTTACGGTGTTCATTGACGCCTATGGTTAGTCAGTAGAATCTCTCCAGAATTCGAACCAGCCTGTTAGAGATGAACATCAACAAACTGAATGCACACCGTACCTTCCAATGATAAAAAAGCAATGCACGTCAGTGCACGACTGTGGCTGTTTAGCAAGCCAATCCAAGACCGACTTGACGCCCATTAGGACGCAGGACCAGTATGTGGGACGGGAAGGGAAGAGAGAACGGGACTGCGCGATATAACTGTTATCTGAATGCCGACTGTCCTGATACGACCTGTCAATGTTAACCGTACCGGAGCATAGCTGAGTAAAAGCAAGCTTAAGCTGGACAATTGTGCGAAACCAGATCCCGGGATCTCGTCCCCGGTTCCAACTGTCCCAAGAAGAATGGGAACTACGCTGATTGGGAATTATTCATTCATTTATTCTATCTTATTGTAAGGTGCTTGCCATCATACAAACCAGTTAACATGTATGTATAATGTAGCGAAACAGACATACGGTCACTCCCTGGATTCACTGATTTCCCATGGGAGAGTTTGTCTTTTAAAAGAAAACATCCAAACCGTGAGTTTTTGACCGAACAACTATTCTAACCGCCAAATGTAAAGCAGTGGCACTGATGAGAATCAGCTGTTTCTACTCCCATCCGCTCTTCTGTCACTGCGTTCAGGCAGCTTCAAGTGTTTCGCTCTTCATATTCAGTTATGAAAAAAATGATAAACGGTTAACTCTACGAGAATACAATTTTACAATGCTCTATACACTGTGAAACTAAGCAGGTAATCACGTCAACTGTGAAATGGTACTAGTGCTATAATTCTAGAAGACCAGTGCTGGCTCGAACAGAGTTGTTTATTAAGAGTCAGAGTTACGGGTCGGATAATAATTTGTCATGCGTATAACAAGATATCGCATTTTGAACATGTCATCACAACTCCTGGCAGCACACAGGATACTGAATTTAACAGGCCGTATTTATCAGTTCAAGCACAGCAATTTGCTCTGGACGGTCTTGCTTATTTTTGACCGTTGAAAAAAAACCACCACCACCCAATCTTTTGGTGTACTACTCACAAATGTGAGTATGACGTCACAACAGTAGTAGATAGCGAGTGTGACCGACCATCACTGGAACTACCTGACCCTGACTCACCTCAATCAAGTTTCGTTAGCTGGAAGATCTTTGCCGGATCCATTCCGGACAGAGTGAGGATAAGTGTGTAGTTTTGTTCACTTCCCTCAGTACTGTTCGAAGCGAATCGCGTAATAACTGGCGTGGAAACGACTGTACAGAACGACTAGATTTGTCTTATTAGTGCATTACTGAACGCAATCGCTCATCTGCATAGACCTATCGCGTGGGACACAACTCACAATGGATTTTCAGGCTTGCATAGAAAATTAGGTCTAAAGACATTTATCTTGATGTGGGGACCCAGTGTTTCACATTTATATGAACAGTAGACAGTAAAGTGTATAAGGATAATATGATCGTATGTTTATCAGATGATAGCCGACTGTTGAAACTAATCGATCACAGTGGCTGGAAAAGACTCACAATGGTTAGTTAGGCACCAGTAGAAGCTAACACAATTCAGGAACGGTTTTGGGATTCAAAGGTATTTAGTGACCGCTGATGTGCACTAAACGCCCAGCTATATCTGTTTCACATTAGGCAAACAAAATCGAATCATTAAAATTGGGGAGTATTAGACGCCTCAGAGCCCATTTAATATGTTCAGAATTGTTGAAGACCCGATCAGAAGACGGACATCCACTTGTATTTGGTAAACGTTAGAAAAGGCGTAAAAGAAGGGCTGTCTTATTCATAAAATCACGGAGTTCTGCGTGTTTGTTTCACAACACGTGAACGCAACATTTTTCAATCTTGCTCAGAAACAGTTGAAGTTTGAGTCGGTTAAAAACCTACTGTTCTCACTGAGAAACCTCGACTATTACTGTTTTTTTTTCTCGTATATTACGAGATATTCAAGGGTGCATTTATTTCAGTAGAAATATTTGAAGATAATGAATTGTTCCAGTATAGTGTAGGTGTCAAAATTGATTCACGCACCCTTGCCCATTCGAACCCCAATGGGATTTGCTCGGCCCAATAGAAGTGATCTTCGGTTTGTTCTGCTCCCTCCCCCTTCTCATCCCACGTCGGATTTTTTGTATTTGTGAGTCTCGTGAACAAACTTGAAAGCAGTTGTGAAAGCACTTTCAGTCGATTAGTTGTAAGCTAGAGAAGCACGATCTCATTTGACGGGCATCTCGGACAATCTATGAGAATTCTTGCTATTCAATGAAAACTATAGTTCATGAAAATTAGTTTTCACATGATAAATAGACTACAGTAGGACGGGGTGATGGGGCGGTCAATCAAGGGTAGAAGAAGTTGGAGGGAGGGGGTGGACATGAAAGCGATGAACGGTTTGGCAGCTATGACGGTGAAATTCAAACACCAGATGTAGGGGCAGATGCGACGAAGCTGCTGCTGCTGAACAACCCTTCTGTAACACCACAAAGGACAATGCGGAAAGTGATTTTCAAAATCGCGGAAAATCGTGGGGGAATGACACATACCTGGGTGCAACAGTCTACCCAGATTCCTAGTACTCTACTTCACGGAAGGACTGTCTCAACTTAATGCAATTCGATCGCCATTTTTGGACGCTTATTGATCAAAATGTACTCTGGGTCATCAGATTCAGATTCTAGTCTAAACTATAAAATTGCATTGATGAGCAACAAAACTCAACAATATAATGCATAAAAAACTAATTGAATAAAAAATGAGCACAACGAAAGATCGTATTCTGTTCATCACGGCAAACAGGGTCTGGCGTTAGGTGAATTGCAGTTCATCAGTTAGCTCCGTCAGGATATCAATCTTTCTTCATCAGTGTGAGCCCGCAGCTGTGTTGGTCAATAAATTATCACTCCGGACGACGTGTGTTCGAATCCGAGCACCACCGCTGTCTGACTTTCCCCATTCTGTGTCCTATAGTAGCCTCTTGATTTTCCGCTTCCCTCTTCATGAAAATTTTAGCATTGCGTATTCAATAAAATAAAATGAGCATGAAAAGAAAAAGACAGGATTTCAGNGAATTCTGTTTCTGACTTTCTTTGAGCGTGAATTTGATCAATTATCGTGTGCGCGCGCAGGGGCTCAGAAGATCCACTCAAACGGCGTTAATTCGACTAAGCCCTTGGAACAGTCAGATTTTCTCATGTTTGTGGGCAGCTCTTTCGCTCCCCGGATTTTTGATCA